TCTGTTGTTCCTCATACACACTGAGTTTGTCCTAAATTTTATTTGCCTTTTTCCTGCACAGAGTGTTCTTCCCAAGCATGCACAGGGCTCATTCCCTATGTCCTTCCCTGCCTCTCAGCTCCCACAAGATGTTATGGGAGCCGAGCTCCCAGCCTCACCTCCCTCTAGCACCTATAACCTGCATTCAGCAGGCATTGTGCACACTGTCCACTTGCAACTCATCCCTCTGATATTTGTCCACTAAAAGTACCTGCAGGGGCGTCAAACAGGTATCACTTCCTTTGTAAGAAGAAGAGGCTGCTTTTGTAAGACGTATATTTAGCATTATAGAAGTACTTAGTTTCCCATGTATTTTTTTTCATCCAAAACTTACAGTACCATATTTTAATATGTATTTTAATATGGCATCTCTTTTTCTTTCTGAAATTAACTTGTCCACCTTCACTTTTTCTCTTTTATTTCTTTTATTTGAAATCCTCAATTTTTCAATGTTTTACTTTTCTGGTTCTTTATTCTTAAGAATTATTATTTTTTAAAAAAATATTTATTTATGCCTACAGAACTGGGGTACAAGCCAGAGGTGCAGGGGTGATGAGAGGCTTCTCCAGAGACAGAGTGGGGAGCAGAACAGGCAGATCGATAAAGCACACTGCTAAAGGGAGCGGTGCGGGGAGGTCAGGAGAGGTCTGCCTGGCCAAGTGGGTCACCTCCGGGCGGGGATGGGACTCACACTCCCATCCCCAATGGATGCCAATGTGGACAGCATGCAGTACTGCATCCTAACCCACTGTGCCACCAGGGAGAGCCGAGAATTATTTTCACATAAGAAATAACACTGGTATAGAACTAACATATTTAAATGTGAATGAAATATACACTTTGGGGAACCCAGTCCTTTCGGACATTAAAGCAAGAATTAAAAACATTAAAAAAAAAAAAAAACCTGGCATGGCTCTAAAGAGTTAACAAATACTTCTATGTAGCTTTAGTCTTTGCTGCCAAAAGCAGGGCAGGGCAGCAATTTTACTGAGGTTCAGAGAAATTAAGTGATTTGCCTAATTTCACAGAGCTTATACTTGTCAGTTACACCCTTAACATAACTCTATCTTTAAACACCAGGCAAATGCTATGTTGTTCAGACTCTAAATTCGAAACCTTCAAAATGTGGTATAATTTCAGAGTTTCTTAAGGTTCTCGCACTCTAGTAAAGGACATAAAACCCAGGTTCGAAAAGTAAGTCACAGGGAAGGTAGAGACTGAAGGTAAGCTTCCTACTGGGCTGTATTTGATTTCCACACAACTCTTCCCTGACTGGAGCTGCTTGGCATCTTCATCAGGCAGAGAAGACCACTCTGGGGTGGGAACATCAACCTCTACTCTCAGTGACTCTCCACATGTCTTCTTATTCTACATGTCCTCACATTTATTTTGACTAGGAGTCTCTGCTTGGGATTCTGCCATTTCTAGAAAAAGGAGAGATGCTTAACCACCCTATTTTTGAAAAGAAAGCTGTTCATGATTTATTGGTTGAAGCAGGTCAGACAGAGACTCTAAATTCTGAATTAGATGTGTTCACATCCCTTGAGAATGGGTGGAGTGGAGTCCATAGGCCAACCTGAAGCATCTGCACTGGGAAGCGCTCCCTCCCCCAGGGAGGATGTTCGGTGTATAATACAAAACATCATCACTTATAATATTCAGATGAGGAAACAAACAAAAAGAGTAGATAGTAATTAACCAGGATATATTGCTCAGTTATAATCAAGGGCTGCTACTGTTCATTATTCGACACTGAACCCATTGCTTACGAGATTGGCAACAGCACTATAGATGTCCGGGAATGAGTGAGTCTAGTCAAGGAAGAAGAGAAGCAGATTCTTCATAGGTCCCATCCTACTTGGCCAACTGCCCACATCTCCAACGCTGAAATGGCTCATCTCTGTGGAAATCTGGGCCTCCAAAATCAAGACTGGAAAAAATATTTCTTCTACACTGAATTCTGTAAACCTCAGTTTTTCTAACAAGTGTGAAGCAGCTGAAATACAGTCCCTTTGGGTCTTTGATGACCCTAAGAGTCAATGAAAATCAGTTTAAAAACTTCCACTAAGTGAAAGATCTCCACTGTTTCCATAATGCCCTTTATCATAAGACAAGCACAAAGATGAGTTTTGATAGAAAATAATATATAAGTACCTCCCTGGTGGTACAAGGAGTTAAAGCACAGTACTATGAAGCTATCAGCAGCCACTATGGTGTGGCCTGAGACTGATCCCTGGCCAGGGAGCTGACCCACATGAGTCTCCTTACTCTCTCGCTGCTCCCTTCAGCAGTGTATTTATATAGATCTGCCTGTTCAGCTCCCTGCTCTGTCCTGTGTGAATCCTTTTACCACCCCCATACCTCTGACCTATACCCCAGTTCTTGTATGCATAAATAATTGAGTCATATATATGTGTGTGTGTTTGTGTGTGTGTGTGTGTGTATAAATGTATATAATTGAGGCACAGACACTTCTAACTTTTTACTTTTAAAATTATAAATCTCATAAAAGGAAGCAATTTTTATCCTTTAGTATCTTTAAAATAAAAATAATAAAGTCAAGAATAGTGTTAAATTAATTCTTGACAAATCCTGATTGTGAGAATCACTGCTATACAAATGAAATGGTTCCTTTGGTGACATACAGACAAGTGATTTGTAGATTAAGATGTATCTTGAAAGATATCAACTACGTGTCATCATTCTTCATTTGAACAAAGCAAGTATAAACTATGTGCTAATATTTGAAAGTGGACAATAAAATTAAATCTGTAAATAGTGTTATTATTTCCAACTTTGAATCTTTCAAAAATACATACTTCAGTGTTGACAGGTGAAATGCAATGTCTGGAAAACATACGCCAACATACTGCTATGGACTGAGGATACTGGAGCAGAACATGCATGAAATGACGACACTCCTGGGTCCATGCAATGTTTGTTGATGAAAACATTAGTATTGGCCCTCCCTGGTGGCGCAGCGGGTTAAAGCACAGCACTGAGAATCTGAAGCCACTTCCGCATGAGTTCGATTCCTGCCTGCCTCCTGCCCCGAAGGAGACCACATGGCGAGCCAGACCTCTCCTGACCCACCCGCTGCTTCCCTCAGCAGTGTACTTCGTCGATCTGTCTGTTCTGCTCCCCACTCTGTCTCGGGTGAAGCCTCTCACCGCCCGTGAGCCTCTGGCCTGTACCCCAGTTCTGTATGCACAAATAAATAAATAAATCTTTAAAAAAAACATTAGTATTAATTGCACTTTATAGGTTATCAATGTGCCATATTAAAGCATGTATGATAATTTATGGGAGGAAACCCTGTCCAGTCTTTGAGACCACAACACAAACTTCATTATGGCAACCTATGAGGCTTCATTCATGTGCTAAGTCCTATCATATTAATTACTTACTTATAAATTGAAACCAGAAGACTGAAAGTGACGTTAGCCAATCTTTCGCGTTGTGACACTTAGGTCACTGGGGCCACAGACACATATACAGTCACTTTCTTAGACTGTAGTCAGGCTGAACCAAAAATGAACATTTTTCTCTATAGTATGGGCTTTTAGGGGACAAGAGATTTCAATTTGCCTCCTTGGCATTGACAACAATTTGCTTAGTATTTGAAATACATAGAATACTTTTCTCTTTCTTAATACTCAAGGTTATGTACACAGGATTTGGATGTAAAAATGGAATATTCAATGCTTCTATCTTCATCAAACATAGTGTAATTAGACCCAAGAGGAGAGTAACTCCATTTATTTTTCTTCTAAGAAACTCAACCGGCTATATTTTCAACCTAAGCTTGACCTTGAGACATGAGACATGTGATGTCAACGTGAGGTTCCTTCCATCTCAGCAGTTCTTCCTGCCAATTCCTTTCTGTGATCTTTATTTTTAATGTGGCACTTACATATCTAGGATGTCAGCTTGTCGGCAAAAATCCAATATAAAATCCTTGAATATATTTAATTTGAGTCATTTGTGTCTGACGCAGTAAAGATCAGTGCTACAGTTTAATTCATGGTCTTGAATAAAATGCTGTCTTGTGCTCTGATGCAGCTCCATCAGATCTTAGGGCCATACAGCATGGTACAATGTTAAGTTTACTGATTCACGAGCTCCAATAATACGAGAAGATAGCATGTTTTATGCAAGCATCTGACATTTGTGTGTGTGACATTTGAGGTGTCTGCCATTTGTGGTGTTTGTACATGAGCCTAAACACAGGAGAAGTGTATACCGAGCATGTGAGAAGCCTTGATATGAAGTATGTTCACTGCAGAATTTCAAGTCACAGCACACAATAGCCTGCAGGTTAACATAGTGAAACAATGTCTAAGTCAGATTTAGATTTCCTTGGTAACTAGATCAGAACTAAGATAGATTCAAATTGCTTTCTCAGAATCTCCTCAAGTTTCACCCATTTTTCCTCTGTGTTATTTTTCCATTTTCTTTTGGGACCTATCCACAGCATTATTCCCCTATGATTGGGTAGAGAAAATAAATCATTTTAAACAAAATTAAGTAGCATATAATTCTATTCAATGTAACAAAGCACAGTTGTTAAGAGTAGTTCTGTATACTGTTTGTCATGTGATTTTTGCTTACTTGTGTGACTTTGAGCAAATCTCTGAATATCTCTAGTTCTCATTTTCTTCATCTACAGAAAGGAGTCAAGGATAGAACTTATTATGCATTATGAAACTTGATTAATATAAAGAATAATTAACAAAAATGCTAGGTCTGTATCTGGTAGATAGAAGATCAGTGAATTTTCCCTACATTTTTTTTTTTAACTTTCTTAAAGCCTTTACTTTGAGACATGATGGGAGAAAACAGACACACATGGAAAAGACATGATTCACAGTTGAAATACAGTCTAACCAGAATGCTTTAGAGCCTATTAGCTAATGTTGAAGCTGAATTATAGCATGACATGCCACAGGACCGAAGCAATTTTAGTATTACTCTCCTTCTTCCTCACCCTCGCCTTCCACAGAATCCACACCAAGCTCCTCATAATCCTTCTCCAGGGCAGCCATGTCCTCTCTGGCCTCAGAAAACTTCCCTTCCTCCATGCCCTCCCCCACATACCAGTGGACAAAGGCCCGCTTGGCGTACATCAGGTCAAACTTGTGGTCCAGGCAGGCCCAGGCCTCAGCGATGGCTGTGGTGGTGCTCAGCATGCACACAGCCCGCTGCACCTGGCCAGGTCTCCCCCGGGGACCACCATGGGAGGCTGGTAGTTGATGCCCACTTTGAAACCAGTAGGGCACCAGTCCACAAACTGGATGCTGTGCTTGGTTTTGATGGCGGCAATGGCAGCATTGATGTGTTTGGGAACCACATCACCACGGTACAATAGGCAGCAAGACATGTATTTACCATGGCGAGGGTCATGAGATTTTCAGTTTGCTTAAAAAACATTGTAAGAGATAGGGTGAAGGAGAATCAAAAGGAAATAGGCAAAATAAAAGATTAAAAGGATGAAAATGCTAAATCCACAAAGTAAAAGATAGTGATGCAAGAACATTCTTATATTTTAGTATTTTTAGATCTGTATCATCTTTAATGTCTACCATGGGATTGGTACTACATAAAACACCAGATCTTAGTAACCAAAAATAATAACAAAAATCCGTTTAAATAATGGCACACTACTCATCTGCAGGAGATACAATATAGGGGGAAGCTCAGGTGAGAAAACAAGCAGCAGACAGGAAGTGCTCTCTTCAGGAAGAAGCATGGGGTCTGTTGGAGCACAAGAGAAAAGACAGGCACTAGATATGGCGGTTTGACTGAAGAAATAGCTCTTCACTACAGTTATAAAGAAAGCTAACATCTGTGGTATTATTGTTAAAAGTTGATGCCAGCAAGTGAAAAACCAAAGAGACTTTGCAGGAGAAAAGAAATGCCCCTCTTCCCCTCTGGCATTTTTCACAGTCATCGGGCAATTAAATTAACATTAGATTAGTAGAAAAAAGAAACAAATTTAATTTAATTGTTAAACTGTTAGTCTATTGCTTTCCCCAAAGTAAAATAAATCAATAGATAAATAATATTAATAGTCGCTGTCTGAATTTAGAGGTCTTCTGTTTCAGTTCTATAGAATCAATTATTATCATTACAATAAACATCCTGAAGTAAACTTTGTATACATCATGACTTACTTAAAATATAATATCCCTAATGATCCTCTATTTCTAGTTGTTTTCTTTTACACTCCTATGAATTGAAGTTCATAGCTTGACAACAGAATGCTTACAGTTTTATGTTTAACTGTTTGCTGAATACCTCCCTGTGGGCAATCCCACAAGACCAGACTCTTCAGATGGGAGTTAAGCAATATTTTTCTAACTCCTCTTATTTCTGTGTGACAGCCACTCTCCCAGTGATCCAGACTCAAAAACCCTTACTCCACCATGACCGACCTCCACTGCCTTCAGATTTTTTCCAATTTTTTTTTGTATTTCTTCTTCCCTTTAAGTCCCTTAGTCACCATTTTACCTATAGTTTTGCTTTCCTTTCTGTTCTCCCCACAAACACAATTGCCTTTTTATTGTTTCTTGTCTCATAAATCTTTTATTCATTACAGATTTACTTTTAGAGTATACACATTTGCGTATTTAAAATCCATCAACTGTTTTTATCCTCCAAGGGAACATCATTGAGAGTAATGCCAATCAACATAAAATGGCGGACACTGTGATTCATCAGCTCTCTACTCCAAGAAACTCAGGGTGACATAATAAGAGGTCACAAAATGCCATACAGTACCAGGCTCTGCTTGCCAGATGCTATTTAAATTCCACCTCTTGGCTCAATAAGTTAAAATACAACACTACAAAGTTAGCCTGCAGTGGCCTCTTCAGCAGGAGTTTGATCCCCGGCCAGAGAGGTGACCCACATGTCACAACAGACCTCTTCTGCCTCGCCCGCTGATCCCCTCAGCAGTGTACTTCCTCAATCTGCCAGTTCTGTCCCCCACTCTGTCTCTGGTGAATCCTCTCATATCCAATGCAATTCTGGACTGAACCACAGTTCTGTATAAATAAATAAATCTTAAAAATAAACCCCACTTCTTCTAGCAATTGGAAGTTGTCTGGCTAAAGGGCAACACACACACACAAATCACACAAATGCTGAGTCAGTAAGAAGCTTTGTAACAAGCCACTTTTGTCTCATATATACAAGTATCTTTGGAAGGTGGAAATGCAAAGCTGTCTGCAATACATAGCACCCTGTACAAAACCTTAAAGACCACAGGGGGGTATCCTTTTGTTGTTATAAGTGTGAAAATAATCAAATGAAGAACATACCCATGAACAAACAAAGCAAACACTAGTGTCTTCAGACTCTGGAGAGTATGGGGTATAGATTAAAAGTCACAAGATTTGAGAGCTAGATTGAGGTAATACACATCACTTCTTCCAAATCCCTCAAAATACCCGTGAAAAAAAGGCTCAGAGAGTTTGCCATTTTCCTAAAATCACTGCGAGCTAACTTTCAGTAGGGACTAGAATATGGATCTTTCATTTCCCTGACCACTCCTCTAAATTCTGTGAAAAGGTAGGAAACAAGTACTATTTTCTAAGAACACATTTATTTGTCAAAAGTGTTTTTACCTATCTGAAAAGGGCACAGTCTAATGACACTAAGGTTTAAAGTACATTGCAGTTACTCCAGCAACTGTTCTGGAAAGTTCTTTCTGACAAGTTCAGTATCTTCCTGCTGACTTCCCTGGTTAGTCTGAGAACCTAGGTCAAGGCCCATGGCCCATGGTCACTTTGACAGACTTTGAATGTAAGAGGCTAAACCAGGAGCTTCTGAATTACGAGCCCTGAGCTATTTGGGGTTTGACATGTTTTGCACTTTAGCTAGAAAGTAAATTTTCAATTTCCAATTGAGTGAATCTGGGAAAAGAGAGAAAAAGAAATGTTTTTAACTAAAAACTGAAACACAAACTTTGGATTTTACCATGAACAAGAGACAATAATTTCACTGTGTTTGTCTGTGTGTTTTGGGGGGAGAGAGAGCGAGAGAGAGAGTGAAAGGACCATAAAAGACCATATAACAGAAACACAGTGTTGTGCCTGTGTGTGCTAGCTAGGGAACAGGCCACTTGCTGAAATTCTCTGTGCTTTGAAAGAGGACCACTGGGATGAAAGGAAAACTCTTCTGTATACAGCAAATACAGTCCCTTTTCTGATATGATCCTGTGGTCTCTGCCTCCATTCCTTGAGCAGAATAAGAACTAGCAAAACAACATTCACCAGGGAGAAACCCTATATGTCCCTGGCAATGTGTTGGAACATACCAGAGAAAATTAACAGCTTCAAGTCAGATAGGTTCCTGGATCATAGAAACCTGCTGTTGAACATTCATCATTTAGGCTTAGCTTTTTCAACAGAACATATTTCCAATCTGATGCATACACACCCTAGCAACCAACAATCATAAATGTTCATGCACCCCACATGCACACAGGGCATGTGTGGATGAGTGAGCACACACACACAAACACCCATCTACAGCCTTAAAGTCGACACATGGCTACAATTTTCTTATTCTCTCAAATTGAATTTGAATATATATTAAGCCAGCTAGATGATGATAGTTTTACAAGGCCTGGAGATAATTTATCAATTGAACTTCAAAGGTCTCCCAGTCTTTTCGCACTGGTCATTATAAAGTAGGAAAATATGTAATCATTTGAGAAGAAAAATATTAGATTTAAACTAATTTTGAATCAACGTGCATATCAAACATATCATCAAGCCCCATCTCCTTGTTCTTCTAATCTGCATTTCTTTAAACACAATCATCACTCTCTGATATCTTTAGATCTGGAATGGAAAAGTCTGAGGACAGAAAAAAAGTCAATGAAATGGAATAAAATGTCCCTCTTCTGAAGATCACGAGATGAAAAAATCCCTGAGAGATTGGGACCCTGTTGCCTGCTGAGAATTTATGACAAAATGCACTTAAAATTTAGAAGAAGGCAGAGCAGAATCTGACTACTCACCAATCCCTCAAAACTTTAGAAGCAACTAATTCTTAGGGAACAGTTAACACTGACTGCTCTCTAGTGAAAACTTGAATGAATAATTTGTGCATTTAATCTTGAGAACAACATTGGAAAAAGGTACTCTTTCAACTCCCACTTTATTTGTTCGAAAATGCCTCTTAGGGTGGATAAGTCATTTTAGTTAGCAAACTCTAGTACTGGCATACAAGAACAGGCCACTTTGACCCCTAAGGCCTTCTTACTAGCATGAGTCAAGTTAGAAAGGAACACTAAATCTGGTCTTTTCAAAACAACAGCAAATACTGCATTTGGCAAATACTACATTTGTCAAATACCATGTTTTCCCCTTATAACTAAAGTACGAACACAAAAGTATGTAGATATTTGACAGGTTAAGGAACAGATCAGACTTGCTCTTAATGTTAACAATATACATTGGACTTCCAGTTGGCATATACTTATTTCATATTCATGTTACCAAGTGGCTCTTCCATAGGTCTCAGAAAAACAAGATTAAAACAAACAGAAACCATTGTCTATTTCCCTAGCGTCATTGTTACTTTATCAACAAACATGCACAGACCCCAATATAATTTCAGGATAAGCCAGGTAGTTATCACATTCTAATAACAATATTAAAAATCTCCCCAGAAAGAAAGTATTTCACTTGAGAGCCAAAAGATGAAGTGAAATTGAGAGACGTAGATGAGAACAAGATTTTCCCAGGTTTAAGCAATGCTAGCAGCTAAGGTCCAGAGGGTAAAAGTTTGGGCTCCTTTCAAAGGCCAATTTTATGTTACCCTGACTAGTCTATGGAGTTGATTAGCATGAAGGGATAGTAGGAAATAGTGAGAGTCCATGTGCAGAGAAAATTCCATGAGCCTGAATTTTGTTTTACATTTTTTATGTGAAATTGGCTATGAAGGTATCATGGTAGGAAGTTATAAATCACCATGCCAACATTTAAAGAATAAGAAGTAGCTTTAAAGATATTCTATTTGTGAATTAAATTTGCATAACTTTAGTGATTTCTAGTATCTCTCAAGACACAAATACCCCAAAGGAACATTTGTATTGAAAGACAGTTCCAGTAGCCTGTGCAAATAAATATACAGAATACTTGAGACTATTTCTTATTGCATAACTAGCTGATGATATTCTCACATCCTATCAAAACAATTCAAGAAAACAGCCTATTGCGATAACTACTACAGATAACTACTGCTTCCAAGTCAAAAAGAGCTTGTTTTCTGTTTCCATTTGACTTTACGTTAGTAAGTAGACAACACTAAATTATCTGCAGCTGGTCAAGAGGCAAAAACACACAAAAGTCTGAAAATTCTACAAATTCCATTCAGACTTTCCTTATTGTTGTAATG